TCTCTAGGTAATTTCTTCTGCTGCCGCAAGAAGCAAACGCATCAGAGCTTTGAAAATTTCAAAAAACTATCTTCACCCAATCAGGGTAAGGACTGACTCAAAGCTTGAAAAGTCTGCTTTGAAAGCCATTGATATGTTCAGGACCAGATGCATCCATTTGACTGACCTTGATCTCAGAGAATTGGTATGTAGATGATAGTATTTGTTGGCATTTGGTGTCTCTTCATTCCTTTTAGGAAAACTGTTTTGCAGGTCATTGGAAAAAATATGCTGCAAATTATTTGCGAAATGCCAGCCATCCGCCATCTTGCCCAAATACGTCTGACCTCTCTCTAACTCAGGTGTCCGACAGTACTAGTTCTAATGTTGTATGTTCGAAACAACTCTTTGTGTAGGTAACACGAGGACCTAAAGTTCCCTATACCAGTACATGTACCTGGCCCTCAGCATTTCCTAAGGTTTTGCCTCATATGATGTGCTCATTATGCATAAAAAGCATCAATAGCTGGTTGTGTTTTCCAGGAGAATTGTTGCTCCAAAGGTTACATCCCTGATTGGCCTATCAGGAAGGATAATTGACTTTTCAAGTGGCTCCTGGCTATTTCATTGTGATGCACTCAAGTACTTGGATCTGGACATAGAAACCCCTAAGCTGTGTGAGCCTAAAATGGTTCATTCTTGGGCATGCCTGTCCAATTTGGAAAGTGCCAAGTTCCATTCAGTGACTGTCACAAAGCCACCTCCATTGAAAAACAGTCTTCATCTTCATTTGCTAATCTTGGATATGCCATTGGAGGGGGATTTCCAAGATTGGGTTCCTGATTGTGTGCCTGTGTCAGTGACCCAGCTGATCATTGCAAGAATGGCTGGTTACAAAAGAGCAGTGACTCCTGCTTTCTCATGTTTCACTGAACTAAAACTGTTGTACCTGGCATACCAAGACAGTCACCCATCTGATTGCAGTTTCATTGCCCTGCCACCTTCCTTGGAGTAATAAATAAATTAAGTCTAGAAAATTTTATCTGATTGTTACAAACAATTACTTTTATTCCAGGTATTTTGTGATGCTTGAAAACAATGACTTGGCCAGTGAAAACTGGGACTACATAGAAGAGGGAAGGAGACTGAAAGGAGAGTTGCCCAAGCTGAGGTTCAAGCTGAATGCTTATGCAATTCCTTGCAGGGATGATCTTTGGAAAGAAGTGTGGACCAGGGTGAATGTGGAGGTGAAGAAACCTGTAGTATTTGACTGGAATGTGCCTTGCTTCAGAGACCATCTGGATTTTACCTATGAATACAAGTGCAAGACCTTCTTCTATGTTGAGCCCAAGAAATGTGCTGAAGAAGTGGATGAAGAGGAAGCCAAGAAACAGGAAGAAGATGCTTGTGTAGATTAGCCTGGCTGTTGGATTTGTAATTGCTTCTGCAGCTACAAATAATAAATTGAGGGTTGATTCAAATAATTTTTTGCATTGGAGTAGTATAACCGTATCCTTCCTATGGAGACTTTTCATATTGGGCTGAAATTTAGCCAATTAAAGCAGGACATCACCATTTTTTTCTGAAGTGTCTAAACCCTGATGCTCAGGCTCAGCTATGAAAATCAAGCTAAAGAATAATTTATTGCAGATTTTAAGCAGCATTAAAAATATTCCAGATGCAAGAGACATCTGAGTGCTGAGGCAGTTACCCAGCCTCCAAGGGGATTTAATTTTAAAAGTACAAAACTACATTTTGGCTGCAGAAAATGAGAGAAGCTGGAGCATCCTCACTCCTTGGATGTTAAAAGAGGAATCTCATTATTGTCTCTCATCACAGGTTTCATGAAGACAAGTCAATCACACACACACAATAAGCAAATACAATCTCGCATTGTGCAATAAAAACTCACTTTCAAAAAGAAATAAAATCAGCAAAGAAAAGTTGCTTTGCCTATGGCGCAATTCCTGACATGCAAACTTCCAAAGCAAATAACTCCACAAAGTTTACACTCAGAAAATTCTACAACATCTTCAATTGAAGCTAAAGATGTTCTTCAACTTGTCTTGTATGATATAAAAATTGACCCAATTAACAGATCTTGAGATACTCTCACTTTTATAAACCTAACTTTTCTTCGGTGATAAGAATCTGGAAAACCTTCAAGCCAGATTCTTATCTCACTGATGCACAAGCTTTTGGTGCAAACAGTGACTTCAAAAGCCTTGTGTCTAAATTTAGATGAATGAATTTATTTCTGCAACAATCATTCAACCCTTTCAGTAATAATTTATACTTATACTGATGTACATGTGTTGCCCTGCAATTTGACCCTAATCTGTTCCCTGGCAGATTGAATCGTGAAGTGGTCAAATTGTAAGATAATGTCAAATGCAATGCTATCTACATCAAATTTGACATTTTCTGTCTCTCTGCCGGTCAAATTGTGGGGCAGAGGTTGAATTGCAAGTTCACTTCCCAGCAAATTTTACTGTTGAATTGTGGGACAGTCAAATTGAAGGATGTAAAAATGTGAGGGGACATCATGTACTACTGCTGCAGGACAAATTCCATATTTATTCTCACAAGCTGATGTATTTTTCATGATTTAAATGTTTTTGCGATGTCCAACAATATAGAAATATCCATGCTTGTCATAATAGCCAATATCTCCAGTTTTGAGCCATGGTTTTCCTGCCAGGGAAAATGTNTCTCTAGGTAATTTCTTCTGCTGCCGCAAGAAGCAAACGCATCAGAGCTTTGAAAATTTCAAAAAACTATCTTCACCCAATCAGGGTAAGGACTGACTCAAAGCTTGAAAAGTCTGCTTTGAAAGCCATTGATATGTTCAGGACCAGATGCATCCATTTGACTGACCTTGATCTCAGAGAATTGGTATGTAGATGATAGTATTTGTTGGCATTTGGTGTCTCTTCATTCCTTTTAGGAAAACTGTTTTGCAGGTCATTGGAAAAAATATGCTGCAAATTATTTGCGAAATGCCAGCCATCCGCCATCTTGCCCTTTATGCAGACTGGAGAGAGATTGAGTCCACAGGCTGTCATGATCAAGATTACAACATACAAGCTTTGTTGAGAAACACATCCATTGTGCTCCTGGATTTCAAGGGATATGGTCATGTACATGGACCACCTCAGCATTTCCTAAGGTTTTGCCTCATATGATATGCTCATTATGCATAAAAAGCATCAATAGATGCTTGTGTTTTTCAGGAGAATTGTTGCTCCAAAGGTTACATCCCTGATTGGTTTGTCAGGAAGGATGATTGATTTTTCAAGTGGCTCCTGGCTATTTCGTTGTGATGCACTCAAGTACTTGGATCTGGACATAGAAACCCCCAAGCTGTGTGAGCCTAAAATGGTTCATTCTTGGGCATGCCTGTCCAATTTGGAAAGTGCCAAGTTCCATTCAGTGACTGTCACAAAGCCACCTCCATTGAGAAACAGTCTTCATCTTCATTTGCTAATCTTGGATATGCCATTGGAGGGGGATTTCCAAGATTGGGTTCCTGATTGTGTGCCTGTGTCAGTGACCCAGCTGATCATTGCAAGAATGGCTGGTTACAAAAGAGCAGTGACTCCTGCTTTCTCATGTTTCACTGAACTAAAACTGTTGTACCTGGCATACCAAGACAGTCACCCATCTGATTGCAGTTTCATTGCCCTGCCACCTTCCTTGGAGTAATAAATAAAATAAGTCTAGAAAATTTTATCTGATTGTTACAAACAATTACTTTTATTCCAGGTATTTTGTGATGCTTGAAAACAATGACTTGGCCAGTGAAAACTGGGACTACATAGAAGAGGGAAGGAGACTGAAAGGAGAGTTGCCCAAGCTGAGGTTCAAGCTGAATGCTTATGCAATTCCTTGCAGGGATGATCTTTGGAAAGAAGTGTGGACCAGGGTGAATGTGGAGGTGAAGAAACCTGTAGTATTTGACTGGAATGTGCCTTGCTTCAGAGACCATCTGGATTTTACCTATGAATACAAGTGCAAGACCTTCTTCTATGTTGAGCCCAAGAAATGTGCTGAAGAAGTGGATGAAGAGGAAGCCAAGAAACAGGAAGAAGATGCTTGTGTAGATTAGCCTGGCTGTTGGATTTGTAATTGCTTCTGCAGCTACAAATAATAAATTGAGGGTTGATTCAAATAATTTTTTGCATTGGAGTAGTATAACCGTATCCTTCCTATGGAGACTTTTCATATTGGGCTGAAATTTAGCCAATTAAAGCAGGACATCACCATTTTTTTCTGAAGTGTCTAAACCCTGATGCTCAGGCTCAGCTATGAAAATCAAGCTAAAGAATAATTTATTGCAGATTTTAAGCAGCATTAAAAATATTCCAGATGCAAGAGACATCTGAGTGCTGAGGCAGTTACCCAGCCTCCAAGGGGATTTAATTATTCCAGATGCAAGAGACATCTGAGTGCTGAGGCAGTTACGCAGCCTCCAAGGGGATTTAATTTTAAAAGTACAAAACTACATTTTGGCTGCAGAAAATGAGAGAAGCTGGAGCATCCTCACTCCTTGGATGTTAAAAGAGGAATCTCATTATTGTCTCTCATCACAGGTTTCATGAAGACAAGTCAATCACACACACACAATAAGCAAATACAATCTCGCATTGTGCAATAAAAACTCACTTTCAAAAAGAAATAAAATCAGCAAAGAAAAGTTGCTTTGCCTATGGCGCAATTCCTGACATGCAAACTTCCAAAGCAAATAACTCCACAAAGTTTACACTCAGAAAATTCTACAACATCTTCAATTGAAGCTAAAGATGTTCTTCAACTTGTCTTGTATGATATAAAAATTGACCCAATTAACAGATCTTGAGATACTCTCACTTTTATAAACCTAACTTTTCTTCGGTGATAAGAATCTGGAAAACCTTCAAGCCAGATTCTTATCTCACTGATGCACAAGCTTTTGGTGCAAACAGTGACTTCAAAAGCCTTGTGTCTAAATTTAGATGAATGAATTTATTTCTGCAACAATCATTCAACCCTTTCAGTAATAATTTATACTTATACTGATGTACATGTGTTGCCCTGCAATTTGACCCTAATCTGTTCCCTGGCAGATTGAATCGTGAAGTGGTCAAATTGTAAGATAATGTCAAATGCAATGCTATCTACATCAAATTTGACATTTTCTGTCTCTCTGCCGGTCAAATTGTGGGGCAGAGGTTGAATTGCAAGTTCACTTCCCAGCAAATTTTACTGTTGAATTGTGGGACAGTCAAATTGAAGGATGTAAAAATGTGAGGGGACATCATGTACTACTGCTGCAGGACAAATTCCATATTTATTCTCACAAGCTGATGTATTTTTCATGATTTAAATGTTTTTGCGATGTCCAACAATATAGAAATATCCATGCTTGTCATAATAGCCAATATCTCCAGTTTTGAGCCATGGTTTTCCTGCCAGGGAAAATGTTTCTTTTGAACTTCGCCAATTGATGAACACGCTTTTGGTCGCATCTTGATCATGCAAATAATTATGCATTACTTGTGGACCCCGGACTAAGATTTCGCCATCTTTGAAGGGCTCAGTCCATCTTCTAGAATTCATATCCACTGTAGCTGCTGTTGTCCCTGCCAAAGGACCTCCAACAGACCCAAGTTTTTTGTGCTCATGTACAGGAACCATGTGGGTGAAACCTGATGCTTCTGTCGCACCATAACCTGCAATTTTTAAAATCATCATAGAACTAATCTTGGAGTAAATGTCTTGAATTTACAGACATCCTTGCAAGTGAACCTTCTTTTTCATTTGACACTAGGCGTCTAGAACCTATTCTACACGGAGTAAGAAGGATTAGGACTTAACTTTCGTAAACTGTACCAGGTTTACTCAGAGATGACTGTGTGCACCTACCGACAGGTACTTCACGTTGTAGAGGACTGTCAAAGGGAAGATTGTTGGCTGAAAATGAAGTGCAACATTTTTCATTTATTTTGTAGGCATTGAAAATCGCACTTCTCTATCTTTATAACTTCTCCTATTTCCCAAAATTTACTTGGAGGCCTCACAGTACTAAAAATTCTTAAGGAATCTACACATCCTCATGCAAAAGTTTACACTTGATAATATACTTCAATCCTTCATCAACAATGAATCTTATGTGCAACTATGATCATTTTATTTTCATGCATCTTATTAGTTTCTCAATGAAAAAAAAAATCAATCATGAAAACTTTGAGCTGAAACAATAAGTATGCAGTATATACAACAAGAGACTTTTTCTGAATTTTCAGAATTCATGTCCATTTTGACAGCATTTCAGTTAATAGCAAAACAATGTTTTATGGAAAATACTGTAATTATTGAATCAAGTGTGATGACCCATAGTCAAGGGTTATAACACAGAGAGAACAATGATAGAACTGCACATAGAAATCCAAAATACAGGTATCTTACAGATACTGTATTTTAAAAGTGTGCAGTACAATACTTTTTAGTTAGGCACTTTTTGAATAACTGCCATAAATAAAAAAACAGATTAAATATACCAGAACATGTTATGAGTCTTAAATAACATTGATTCTCCTATTATCACTCTCAAATAACTTTAAATGATCATATATGACCTGGCTGTTTTCATCTCTTACTCATTTTATGTTATGGTACTACAGTATAAGATTTGATTTCATGGATGTAAGGTAATTTTTCTCTCCAGAAGTCCAGATCAAGAACTTGATTATACTGTATGCAGGCTCCACTAAGAGAACATTTGCAATATTCCATTGTAACTCTGATAGCGGTTTTCTCTGTACTGTATTTATTTAAATATGCCTAATAGCCTAAGTCTGCATGAGTGAAGCTAATTGTAGATCAAAGGAAACCAAAAAATGGCAAAATAGGCCACACAAATGGAAACTTTTACTGGGAGAATGGATGAGGTACAGATGTACCTTGAGTACTCAATAAGATGCACCAAAGCTTATTGCTGTACCTGATATTCTTCAAGTATGTCAAAGAGCAGCTCATTGGGTTCATCTTCACTCAACGTTATCAGCCTTCCGCCAATTTTTGTGCAACTGAGTAGACCCGTGATGAGTCCAAAAGCAGTGTAAAAAGGCATTATTCCAACAATCGTCTCTTGGTGGAATAATTTCATGGGATTGTGTCCTTCTCTGATGATATGGGCCTTCTCAGCTTTGCTCAAATACGGCACATGAAGCTGATTCAGAGTTCCAACGATATTACCATGCGATAAAGCAACTGCCATTTCTTTGCCATTTGCCTTTCTCAGGCACTGCACAATTGCAATGTCATCTGGCCTGAATGGCGCCCCAGAAAGAATTCCAAGACCATCTTTGGATGAGTTGCATATGACTTCGCGAAGAGACAAAAGTTTTGGACTTCTTGGTCCATTTGGTTGCAAATCTTTCATCAGCTATAATGAAGAAAGGATTGGAATAATAAGTTGATGACAGTATAATGGCAAGTTATTCTTCCCCCTGAATTCTCTGAAGCCCTTTGAATATTGCTATATACCTAACTTATTTAGGTATAAATGAACCAAAAATAAAATTTTACTAACCAATATGATTTATTTTGCATATTTAGCTATCATATTTGGACATCTTAAAACATAAATCTGGAAAACAGTGATGTATGATTTGTTTTCATAAAATTACTGCAGATGTATAATCAGTACTAAAGAACACAAAAATCAAAGAAAATTAAATTCATCATTAATATAAGTTATTCAAGCATTCAATTATTCATCAAATTGTTCAAAATGTGTTCCTCATTTTGTGACTCAAGTACAATATGCTCACTGGCCCAATCCATCACAAATTATGTGGAACATTTTGTAACCATCATTCTATGATACACCCCAGTTTTGAATAACAAACTTTACAATGAATGCACATGAGGTCAAGAAGCTTCAAATAATGCTGGTAATGTTTCTACAGCATATTTGCGCATTGGAATATATACATTACACACCTTTTATTTGAAAAATGATGTACCTTCTCTTCTTCATGCACTCCCACTGAAATAATGATAGTTCTAATTGACATTAGCTCTTCCTCTACTTCTGTCATATATTGCACATGCTTGGCATCCTTTGCCAACACCACCACTGCTTTTGGTTTGCATGCCCTCAGCTGAGCTACAATGCAGCCTGAAATTTGTAATGCATATACCAACTTAATCAACTGCAATGAAGAGCAAGAGAAAATTTAAAATTCAAATCACCTTTTGGATTGATCAACGCAGGAACTCCATGAATGAACACCGCTCCATAAAAACAGATGGCAAACGAAGGCATGTTGGGGCAAATTATCGCCAAGATGTCGCCTCTTCTATTCAAGATCGACAAGTTTTTGAGACCCACCCCAAAAGCAAGTGACAAGTGCCTGATTTGTTCGTAAGTGAATTCCTCTCGTGTTTCAGCGCACATCTGTACATATATAGGCTTCGTATAGAATTTATGTCAATGAGGATTTCGAAGTATGCTTCTTCATCATGCATATGAACGCACCATTGCTGTCGCTTTGGAAAACTTGTGATAGTCTTTCCATAGATACCCAGCAAGATCTGGCGACTGTTCAGATGTTCGCAAAACATGATTGCAAATCACCAAGCCTTGAGAAAAAACATGGAAAGGATTGCTGGTGTCCCGGACTTGCCGAGGCCACAATTGCCAATCTGGCGGCCCTGTTAATTTATTCCTGATGGCGATTTGCATTTGAGCGGAGAAACCTTGCACATGTTTTGGCAAATATTTAAAAAAGCATTTTGTGAACAGCATAGCACTTCACGGCCACATTAGCTTAATGTCCGATTCTTCCTTCGCACTGATTGACCACGTTGTGCATGCCCACTATGGATAATACAGTACCAATAACGAATTGGGATTAACGTGGGACAATTTTGTCCGATATTGAGGCCTTCTATTCAAGCTCGTCGTGATATATATGTTGGATAACATTCCAGTCGTTCATTTTTATTTTGGAGATTTATTGGTCCATGAAAAAACACTGTGTGTGCTGTTTGATTAAGTCAGTCTATCGACAAAATCGTAATTTTGAATTACTGCAATAATGAATGCGTAGACATGATAGAAAGTCGAAAAAATGGGACTCTACTGAATGTTAGCAATGTGGAGAAACGTTTTGTCTTCTGAAATAACTGCTTCCATTTGGATTTAAAAGACGGAATGCATGCTAATGAGGACTAACTATGATTATGGTACAGTATGATCAATTCTCAAACACAGCAGTTCAAGTGTACACTACTGTACTTTATAGCAGTGAAGTCTGAACCACAAATCGAACAGCTTGAGTGGATGACAGGTGCATCAGCCCGACTTGCCGTACAGTTCTCCTACCGAATTGCATTGAATGCTTCTTCTTCTGCTGCCGACCCGTCACCTGCCGGGGGAAAACAAGCTCTCATACCGCAGTTTTCAGCTCACCGCCGCTTACTTGCACGCTACTCCCACAGAGGGCTGACGCATTCCACTGCCGGATCAACGCCATCAATGAGTGACTTTATGGACAGCACATGCTTCCAGATACGAAATTCAATGTTAAAAATGGTGTACAATGACAACACACAGTACTGCAGTGAACTTCACTTGAGCAAACATTTGAGGTGAGTGCAGATACAGTAATTTCTAACTCTTTCAACTTATAGCATTCATAATGTTTTATTTCTGTCATTTAATGAATGAGTAGCATTGCTTGCCTTTCCCATAAAAGGGTTTGATATATACTTCTACTATATACTACTTTTATATACTTCTACTATGTATACCTCTGCTATATTCTACTATATGAGTAGAAAATGTAAATTAGTTCTGCAGTAATTCCCCTTTTTCAAGGGTAAAATTGAAAATATATTCTAGGGCATTTGAAAAATTGATGATTTGTGAAAATCACTTTCAAACAGAACCAGAGGAGGATTATTTTTTTAAGTATGAAAATTAATATCTAAAATTTAGTTCACGTAATTAGCATCATGTTAGTCAGATATTCAGAATTTTCAAAATTTTATTTAAAAATGTTCTAATGTGTGCACTGTTATTTTTCCTTGGGAGTCTCCCTAAATTTTAAACCACCAAAGCATTGCAGTTGAAGTCACTCAATGCAAGCCACTGATGGCTCTGAGGTAGACTGGCGCTCCCAGGGTAGCATGGAAGAGGAAACCCTGAGTGGAGTGGCTCTGAGGGGAAGTTGTAAAGTACTGGACAGTTATGTCATGACGTGATTCGCGTGGGTTCAGGGAAGGGATGAAGTCGCGGGAATGCTGTGGGACTTTTACCCCGGGTCGCTTATTCCCTCGCGATAGCGCCGTGTTGCGGAAATACATACTGAGTGATACTTTTACAGCTGTTCTCTACCGGTAGCTTTATGAGATTTGCTTGTTGTTCGTTGCTTTTTTATGTTCTGGTCGTAACATCGTGAGTGAAGCATGGAGGCGTATTCATCATTATCCATTTTAGGTAGCAAAACATTTTGCACCGCCGTTATAGCTGTGTTCGCCGGTTACGTTATGTACACTTCAAATGTGAGTACTGCTGGTGACTTTTGCCTGCACTTTCCCAGTTAATGTATTCCTGCATCGCAGGTGGACGATGAGCGAGAGAAATTGTGTTTCTCCGGATCTTGGCACGACAGAAGCACAGGAGTGACGAAGATTTATCATGTTACGTATTTCTCCACTGACAACTCTGTTCAGTTGTTTGACCCTCAGTTGCAACGAATAATCCTACGTCGAATTCAATGCCCGGAAGTGAAGCGCGAAGATTTCACGCGAGGTCTTGGCCATACCGTCACAGTATTTTCGAGAAGTATCAAGCTATTGGAATACCTTGATGACTTCACTGCTGCCAAATGTGAACTGCTTTGTGAACGAACGTACGCAATGATCAAGCCTGATGGGGTGAAGCATCTCGGGAGTATTCTCTCATCCCTGGATGGCCTGGTGATAAATCAGATGAAAATGTTCGAGTTTTCGTACGAGCAGGCCATTAAATTTTATGCTGAACACGAAGGCAAATCATTTTTCGAAGGTTGGTGTGAGCTTCGGGGATGTTTCAATCGTTTCGACGCTATGCACGGCTTCCTGTCTTCTGCAGATTTGATCGGTTATGTCACGGAAGGTCCTGTGGTGGGCATGGAATTGTCTGGTCAGAATGCTGTCAAGAAATGGCGGGAGCTAATTGGCCCCACTGACCCTTCGAAAGGAAGAGTGGGCGGAGAAGCTGTAACTCTGCGCGGGAGGTTCGGAACTACGTTGACAAGAAACGCTTTGCATGGATCCGATTCAGCTACCTCAGCGAAACGCGAAATTGAATTGATCTTCGGTTCATACGATAGACCTCGTGTGCACGGAAAACAAGATGTGTCTTGTCTTGTGATCATGCCACACGCAGTGCGTGCGGGGCTTGTGGGAGAAATCGTCGATTCCATACAACAGTCTGGATTCACTCCACAGGGCATTATTTTGAAAGAGCTCTCAGAACCTGAGGTAAGCTTTACTATTTCGCAAATGCAGTAATAGTGAATATATCCCGAACCAATAATTTTAAAACCGTAAAACGGAGTTGTGGTTTGTAAACGAATCACTAGACATGTGCTTCATCTAAGCTTGCAATTATTACGCATGGTGGACTAAATAGAGCTACAATTGATAAATAAGTGTCTCTCTTTAATCGAAGTTTTCCAGGGCAAAGTGGTTAATTCTTCGTCTTTCATTCATTTCTAATCCATTTTAGAACTAACTCCCAGCGAGAGAAACATGAACCATGAGTTCAGGAACTATAGATATTTTATAAAGGGTAAATATTTTGTACCCTTACAATCCTTCAGAGTTTGAATGCGGATCGAAAACAGTTGCTTCGAGTTACTATACATATGTTCTTTTTTTTGTTTTTGAATCAACTTTGAGAACATTTTTGGTCAAAAATTTTTTCAAACCGTCAGATAGTGTTGGAACTCAAGCTTTTTTGAAATCCTTACTTTTTCAGGCTTCCGAGTTTTTGGAAGTGTATGACACGGTGTTGAAAGAATATTCAGCATTAGTGAAGGAATTTTCGTCTGGTCCGTCCATTGTTCTTGCTGTGTCTGGTAATGATGACGTCGTAAAAAGTTTACGAAAAGTATGTGGTCCACAAGACATCAGTCTTGCGAAGCGAGCCCGTCCAGAAACCCTGCGAGCAAAATATGCTTTGGACCAAGTTCGTCAAGCAGTGCATTGTTCAGATTTGGAAGAATTTGGTCGCCTTGAAGTGAGTCCATCAGATCAGACTACTAAAGGGTCAAGTTTGATGCTAACGTGTCTTCTTTTTTGTTTTTAGTGCGCCTTCTTTTTCGAAGACTGAACACGTTCTTCTATCCCAACCGGAACAGATCTCATGTTGAAACGAATATATTGCATGGTTTCGTCTTTGAAGTTTTTACTTGGATCGGAAGTGTATCTTTGGTCCGAACGTGGATTTGCCAAAAACAAAAAATCGAAGGATAATTTTAAAGAGTTCGGAAAATACATCGAAAGCTTCAAATTTCTCGTCATACATTGTAAAAGTTTGATATTTCCTTCGCGTTTCTTCTGTCGAAAATTTTCGCAATAAATTCAATTCAGCCTTTAACGTCACCGATCAAAAATATTTTCGCGAGTGATCCTCGGAAATAATTTCTCCATTGTTACTGTGGCAAATAATTCATTTCCCGTTTACTTGTTCTAGAAGTTAGCGAATGAGTAACCTGTTGTCAAAATCACTTCGGTCAAAGTACAGTAGCTTGTATTTTTTTCCGAACCTCTCTCAGAAAGAGATCAGTTATATTTTGAAGATTATTTCACGCCGATGGTTTTACTTCTCAGGTTTGTTGTGCGGATGATGTAACGGAATGGATCACTGACATCATTCTTGTCTAGTGTTTCTTGCGTGTTTGTGTGTGCTAATAGTGTTCAGGGAAACTGCGATGTCTTCCGGGCGACCGATCAAGTGCGTTGTTGTCGGGGATGGTACAGTGGGGAAAACTTGCATGCTGATTTCTTACACCACGGATTGCTTCCCTGGCGAATATGTTCCCACTGTGTGAGTGTTTTACGTTATATTTTTCTTTCGCAGTGAATACAAGTTGCGTTTATGCATTATTTATGTCTTATTTTATAGATTTGACAATTACTCTGCCCCTATGGTGGTGGACGGAGTGCCCGTTAGCCTAGGATTATGGGACACAGCTGGACAAGAAGACTACGATCGTTTGCGACCGCTTTCATATCCTCAGGTAAACTAGTGGAGTACTTTTTCCTGCAATTGTCTTGGTATCATTTTGCTTTTCACCGAATGTAAATCACGATAAAAGAAGCCCATGTCGATGATTTCGATTTGAAATTTAAAATAATTATCTTTCGGGCATTACTTGGAAAGTATTCAGAAGAGATGCGAGATTAACTTGTACATTAATTCCACGAAAAAAGGCTTAGAACTTTCAGCTTTCGTTCTTCGGGATTCATTAGTAATTTGCCCGATTTTAAATTGCAAATTGAATGACATTAGCGTAAATTTCGAGTTTTTCAATGTTGCTGAAAACCTTAGAATATCGTGAATTTGATGCCTATGAAACTAATACGAGTAGGCTCTCTCTATGACGAATTCCAGAGGACCAGAAAAATTTCGTTGTGGGGAGAAGTTCGTTTGTGGAGAACCTAGATATTATGGGTACAAGCCCACATGAGACCCAACAAATTCGTCATATGGGGAAAATCGTTGTAGGGAGAGTCTAGTCCTAATCTGAAACTCAGAAGGGCATGGCATATCAATAGGACTTATCCCCACTCAAAATAAGTCCTATTGATAATTTGACGACTGAGGCTTACTCATTAAATATGCTTTTTGTAAAAGGCTTCAATCAGTTGATCAGGTCTCGATTTTCCTGGGTGAAGTAACTTTATTTGAAGGCTTCCTGATGCTATGGTTATCTTCGAATTATTCTGTTGATAAAGTCGACTTCTTCTCGTTTCAGACCGACGTCTTTCTAATTTGCTTTAGTATAGTTTCACCATCCTCGTTTGACAACGTGACTTCAAAGTGGTGTCCGGAAATCAAACATCATTGCCCTGATGCTCCAATCATTTTAATCGGTGAGTTTGACGACGACGTTTTTTTAAAAACCGTGCTAATTTTATTTTTGTGTGCGTTCAGGAACAAAAATGGATCTGAGAGAAGACAAGGAAACCCTTGCAATATTAGGAGAGCAAGGATTGCAGCCCGTGAAGCGCGAACAGGGATTGAAGTTGGCATCCAAGATCCGTGCCATTAAGTACCTCGAATGCTCAGCGTTGACCCAAAAAGGACTGAAACAGGTTTTTGAAGAAGCCGTTCGAGCCGTGTTGCGTCCTGAGCCGATTCGGCGCCGCGAACGCAAATGCACGCTCTTGTAAAACCTGAAAAAAAAGTAAAATAACTTCCGCGAATAGGTATGGAACTATATTTAGACCGCTCACTTGGGACGAAGCTACGCTGTATTCGTGGGAGCTTCAAACGCCTGACTTGTACCCCCCTTTGCATTGTTTTAATACTGGATTCTTGGTAAGTTGAGCTGCGCCATCAAGACCGAATTTCTTGTTTTTTTTTTTTTTTTTCAGCCTGATTTCTTGGAGCTGCGCTATCAAGGCCGAATTTCTTGTTTTTTTTTTTTTTTCACAGCGTGATTTCTCAGTCAAAAAAAAAAAGGAATGGTTAAAATTAATGCCTGACTTTCCTCTCCCTTTGCTAATTGTCCTATTGAATATCCGAATGTAAGAGGTTATACTGAAACGCATACGACGCGCAAAATGGAGCAAAGAACTGATTGAATAGGGTGGACCCTGAAAACTATCGTGAATTTGATCTGCATTGAGTTGGTGGCATCTTAGAATTGTGTTGTGCTCAGTTTGGAATTTTATGGTGCGGACTCCCCCTTTTAGCTTAGGCAAAATGGGGATACATTTTTGAAGAATGCTGTGTCCTCGCTTATTTTTATGTTCCACGTGATTCCACTTTAACGAACAATCGTTGGTTCGTACGCTTTTTAGCTTTCGCTGTTCGATTCTTGGATGCATGGATGCGGGTTTATATACTGTAATTTGTACGGCTTCATATTTGATCAAATTTCGAGGAAAAAAAATTATTTGTTCGTTCACTTGGATTTAAAACGGAAAAGGAAACGGAATTTAAAATGCACCCACATTACCATGAGGAAATGAAGTTCTCATACCGTAGTATCTAAGACCATGCTGCCAAATCATGATGAAGGCTGGATCTTCCCTTATTTGTGGCTTACGTTGGTCTTGCTCGGAATTTTTGCGAATGGATATCTGCAAGAACGAAGATTTAATGGCGAACTGTGCATCGTAAAATTGGATAACCCCCGAGACTATGTTATTTACTTCTTTGCCCCGTCACACCCACTGCAGGGTACTGTAATTCATGAACGTTGGGAGCCATTCCAGGTAATTCAGCTTCCTGTGTGGCGTTTATTTGAATAAATCTGTATTCATTCAAACAGCAACAGATGGCAGAGCGATTCTTGATTTTTAACGAAAATGAAATCGTGATTTCCGTTTTTCCGAAAGAAAGAAAGTCGACCTTCACGTGATGAACATAGAAATACCGAATTTGTTCGAGTACCATGCACCCTCAAGTAAGGCTTGTGCAGTACGTGATTTTGCATTCTAAAATTTGGAAGAAATCCTGAATTACGACACACATCCCGTTTTTAGTCGCACAAAATTTTTCAAAAGGTCGGAAACAGAGTGCATCAGAATTCAAATCTTGAATTGCATTGGATCCAAATGGAATTTATTTTGAATTCTTCCATGAAAATGTGTTTCACAAAATTCTTCAAAATTTCCTATTGAATCAAGTATGATGCATGCCTGAACGTTTCGCATTTTGAAAATTTGTGCCTGCCAATGATGTACACCCTCTTTTTCCCCTTCTTAATTTTGAGAAAAGGTGTATTTTATTGACGTAAATGCGGTACTTATGGATTTAAATGGATGCCACGCAAAAGCAAAAGTGACGAATGGTTTCTAGTTATTTTTATGACTTCCTGTATCCTGCAGTGGGTGTGAATAATGTTCTATGGCCTTGGTGAGATTTCAGTTTTGTGATAGACTGGACGCACTCCTGTCTCTGTTTTACACTTTCAGTTCTGTTACACTTGGAGTATGATGTTTATGGATATGAATAGGCTCATTATTTAGAAGATTATGACAGCGTGGATCCAGACACNTTCCGTGTGTTCCGATGTAAGACGTGCATCAAAATTTCTTTCAATGAAGCGTAGTGTCTTGAAAGAATGATCAAAAGCTGTTGAATTCTAAGATTGTGTCTGCATGCATTACATCATTGTTGAATACTTTTTCAAGTGTGCATGTACAGACATTTTTATTGATCTAATGTATTGATCTGAATGTTCTTGCAACTTTTTGATGAGTGCAATGTATCTTCAGAAGGTACCTGTAAAGGTGGTGCCCTGCAATTTGAGCCCAATATGTTGCTGGACTTGGGTCAAATTGCAAGACGCTGAAAAATTAAGAAACAGCAGCAAGAAACCCTAGAGAAGTGAGTGATGGAGGTCATATTGAGAAGCAGAGCTTGAATTGTGAGTTGAGGTCCCAGTGAAGTTTACCATTGAATTATGGGAGGTCAAATTGCAAGGTACCACCTGTACTGTGTTTATGCAATCACCAAGACTGCCTTTTTTTCCAAGAATTTTGGAAAAGAATGTGGTGTGCTTCTTAATTGTGCATGCATTTTTAATGGGATTTTTTTTTAAATTTGGGAACTTGCCTTCGCAATTTCAATTTTTTTGGTGGATCTGTGATTCAAATGATCGGTATTTTCATTTGATGCAGTTTTTATGATGTGAAATTTTGCATCTGAAAATTTGAGTTGTGTGTCTTATGGAGGGAAGGTATTTTTTCCAGAATTTTAGCTTTAAACTAAGGTCTAACTTTAGTGGGTATGTTATTCTTGAAGCTCATGATCTTTTTTGAGGAAGAATTTTATTCATCTCTCCCCCCACAACGTCCAATTCTCCCACCTGAATATTTTTTGATAATGAAGGCCAGTGGTAACACTTCCATATGCTGCTCAGCAAGAAGCAAAACACATGCAATATTCGCTGCAGATAATCGCCGCGAAACCCGAGAAAGAAAGCCATGTTTTCGAATAGCGAAGCGGATTATTCATGAGTTCACTTCCATCCTTCAGAGAAGACGAAAATATTTTCTTGGTTTTTCCGAAGGTTCGAAGGATTTTCCTCAATCTTTTGATTGATCGAGTGTCGTTTCGAACGATTTTTCTGGATTATTTCTATTTTTTCAATCGGAACTCTTCGTTCCGTCTCGCAAAAACAACCTGGGTGTTCTTGAATCTAAAATTGGGGCATTTATTGTACACCGACGCTAAAATAACGTACCTGATCATGAAACATGTACAGTACGGTATTTCCTCGAACATCAGACAGATGTCGCCTCACCCGTCAAGCCTACCTAAGAAAATTTAATTTTAACGTTACGTGCGTTTCAGAAATGAATATCGCGATTTCAGCACACCAGGGATTGTAAGGAAAAACGAATACTTGGAAAGTCTGTGAATCTCAGTGTGAAAACTTTGGAAAATTCCGAAATCATCCACAGAAACCCCGGGAAAGTTTTTTTAGTCGCCTTCTGCATGGAAAATTTCAGACTGTTGAAGCAGAAACGAACTCATTCGAAGTTCCTTTTAATTTTTCTCAGCCGTTTAGGAGATGCATTCCGTCTTTCGTTTTTGCTGATGATCATTCATCGGCTTCGTATTCTGAGTGCAACTCCCCAATATAGTGTCTGAAAGTTGAAAGTGATCTCATTTAGAATATTCGCGGCATTATTATAACTTTTTTTCGCGTCTGCTGGAAATGCGCGAGATGCCGATTATCGGAACGGCATTAAATCGCCGAATTGTCGCTTGAGATACTTGGAGACGCATGATTCTTGATAGCACTGATTTTTCCAGGTAATTCAGCTTCCTGTGTGGCGTTTATTTGAATAAATCTGTATTCATTCAAACAGCAACAGATGGCAGAGCGATTCTTGATTTTTAACGAAAATGAAATCGTGATTTCCGTTTTTCCGAACGAAAGAGAGTCGACCTTCACGTGATGAACATGAAAATACCGGATTTGTTTGAATACCATGCACCCTCAAGTGAGGCTTGTGCAGTACGTGATTTTTCATCCTAAAATTTGGAAGAAATCCTCAATTACGAAACACATCCCGTTTTTAGTCACTCAAAATTTTCAAAATGTCGGAAACAGAGTGCATCAGAATTCAAATCTTGAATTGCATTGGATCCGAATTGAATTTATTTAGAATTCTTCCATGAAAATGTGTTTCACAAAATTCTTAAAAATTTCCTATTGAATCAAGTATGATGCATGCCTGAACTTTACATATTTTGAAAATTTGTGCCAGCCAATGATGTACACCTTCTTTTCCTCTTCTTAATTTTGAGAAAAGGTGTATTTTATTGACGTAAATGCGGTACTTATGGATTTAAATGGATTCCACGCAAAAGCAAAAATGACGAATGGTTTCCAGTTATTTTTATGACTTCCTGTATCCTGCAGTGGGTGTGAATAATGTTCTATGGCCTTGGTGAGATTTCAGTTTTGTGATAGACTGGACGCACTCCTGTCTCTGTTTTACACTTTCAGTTCTGTTACACTTGGAGTATGATGTTTATGGATATGAATAGGCTCATTATTTAGAAGATTATGACAGCGTGGATCCAGACACGAGTAGGTATCTTCGCAGCGATGTGCGTATTTATGTTTGAGGAATTTTCAGAATGTAGATCATTCTTGAAAGCGCGATTGACATGCTTGAATGTACCCTTCCCCATTTCTCCTCCCGAATGATTTTCCATCTCGAATCTCATCGTCAGCTAATGCGTAGTTGAAAGCAGTCGTTAGATCTGAACATAGCTTTGGTTGAAGATGACGTGGCTCAGCTTACCAAGCACTGAAAATTGTGAGTATTGGCCTCTTATTGAACCGGCGTTGGAATCTCCGTATTCTTGCGATGTTCGAAAAAAAAAAACCCTGTGTAGCTTTTATTTTGGGGTTGACGTGGTAGACGGTTCAGGCCGATCTATGTGATAAGAACGCGAAGAATCCAGGAACGTAATATGGTTTAGAATCTTCTCGAGTGTCTGCGGCGCTCCGTCTTGCCAGTCGTGACCAGTGGACTATATTTTTTCCAAAGAATCTTACTCTGCTTTGAATGAAATCTAATGCTTGGGAGTGCTGCTTTTTTTGTTGGATGTAGAAACGAACTTTTCTTTTTTGGGGTTTTCCAGCGCGCGATGTGATGTTTTAGGGAACATCCTGGCAGCTGATTGATTTTGAAAAGAAAACTTGGTCTGCGCACATCAACAAAATTAATGTGGAAAATAAAGCGATTCAAGTTTCTAGTCAGTGGGTCTGTCGACTTCATTCCGTGTTTGTCTTCGTTTGACGGGCTGCGGTTTTAATCCTTTTGTCGTATCCAGTTTCTGTGTCGCTCAGGTGAATTTTCCAAAGAGTGATTTTTGCAGTGTGTTAGCATCGGGGTTCTTCTAGTCATGGAGGTCTTTGAAGGTGAGAATCGTTGCTGTGATGGAAATCCTGTCGACACTGTTCAGATAACCCGGAAATGGGCCGTATTTCCGTGTGTTCCGATGTAAGACGTGCATCAAAATTTCTTTCAATGAAGCGTAGTGTCTTGAAAGAATGATCAAAAGCTGTTGAATTCTAAGATAGTGTCTGCATGCATTACATCATTGTTGAATACTTTTTCAAGTGTGCATGTACAGACATTTTTATTGATCTAATGTATTGATCTGAATGTTCTTGCAACTTTTTGATGAGTGCAATGTATCTTCAGAAGGTACCTGTAAAGGTGGTGCCCTGCAATTTGAGCCCAATCCGTTGCTGGACTAGGGTCAAGTTGCAAGACGCTGAAAAATTAAGAAACAGCAGCAAGAAACCCTAGAGAAGTGAGTGATGGAGGTTATATTGAGAAGCAGAGCTTGAATTGTGAGTTTAGGTCCCAGTGAAGTTTACCATTGAATTATGGGAGGTCAAATTGCAAGGTACCAACTGTACTGTGTTTATGATGCAAGTACTGTACCAAGAATGCTTTTTTTCTAAAACTTTTGGAAACAATTGTGGTGGGCTTCTTAATTGTGCTTGCATTTTCAATGGAAATGTTTTACAATTTGGGAACTTGCCTTTGCAATTTCAATTTTTTTGGTAGATCTGTGATTCAAATGATTGGTATTTTCATTTGATGCAGTTTTTATGATGTGAATTTTTGCATCTGAAAATTTGAGCTGTGTGTCTTATGGAGGGATGGTATTTTTTTTCCAGAATTTTAGCTTTAAACTAAGGTCTAACTTTAGTGGATATGTTATTCTTGAAGCTCATGATCTTTTTTGAGGAAGAATTTTATTCATCTCTCCCCGCACAACGTCCAATTCTCCCACCTGAATATTTTTTTTGATAATGAAGGCCAGTGGTAACACTTCCATATGCTGCTCAGCAAGAAGCAAAACACATGCAATATTCGCTGCAGATAATCGCCGCGAAACCCGAGAAAGAAAGCCGTGTTTTCGAATAGCGAAGCGGATTATTCATGAGTTCACTTCCATCCTTCAGAGGAGACGAAAATATTTTCTTGGTTTTTCAGAAGGTTCGAAGGATTTTCCTCAATCTTTTGATTGATCGCGTCTCGTTTCGAACGATTTTTCTGGATTATTTCTATTTTTTTTCAATCGAAACTCTTCGTTCCGTCTCGCAAAAACAACCTGGGTGTTCTTGAATCTAAAATTGGGGCATTTATTGTACACCGACGCTAAAATAACGTACCTGATCATGAAACATGTACAGTACAGTATTTCCTCGAACATCAGACAGATGTCGCCTCACCCGTCAAGCCTACCTAAGAAAATTCAATTTTAACTTTACGTGCGTTTCAGAAATGAATATCGCGATTTCAGCACACCAGGGATTGTAAGGAAAAACGAATACTTGGAAAGTCTCTGAATCTCAGTGTGAAAACTTTGGAAAATTCCGAAATCATCCACAGAAACCCCGGGAAAGTTTTTTAGTCGCTTTCTGCATGGAAAATTTCAGACTGTTGAAGCAGAAACGAACTCATTTGAAGTTCCTTTTAATTTTTCGCAGCCGTTTAGGAGATGCATTCCTTCTTTCGTTTTTGCTGATGATCATTCATCGGCTTCCTACTCTGAGTGCAACTCCTCAATAAAGTGTCTGAAAGTTGAAAGTGATCTCATTTAGAATATTCGGCATTATTATAACTTTTTTTCGCGTCTGCTGGAAATGCGCGAGATGCCGATTATCGGAACGGCATTAAATCGCCGAATTGTCGCTTGAGATACTTGGAGACGCATGATTCTTGATAGCACTGATTGGGGTCTTCTTCGCCACCGGGGTTAAGCTTGTCAACTGCGATGGTCATGTGGTAGGCAAGCTCCAGACACCCGGGTTCTTCGTTGGGACACACGTCTTCCATCTTGTCGAGGAGGATCCCGTCGCAGTCGTTGGACGTCATCACACTGAACCCTTCTCCCTGCGGGATTTCCATGTTCAATGCTTTGATTAGGTCTTCAATTATCAAATTATTTTTGTTGCCCTGGAGTTAATGAAAATTGATCGACTGTCACTCTTCCCAAGAATTTACTATAACTATTAAATGAAAGGGACGTCTGTCATCCGAAGTCCGCTTGGCGTCAGATATTTTCTAGAGCAGCTGGAGAGGCGCAAAATATTTTAAATACTTCCGCAGCAAAATTTTTAAAATTTTTTATAGAATTTTATTCAATATTTTTTTCACACTCCGAAAAGTCAAAAACGTAGATATTTTGAATTCTTGTTCAATCCTTGTCTGAATTCCGTTTAAGAACACTGTGTTGTATTATAGACCTGCCCAACTCAAAGACTTTTCCCTCTAAACGTCCAATGCTCAAATTTTCTGGAGGCCTTTTGTGCTATTTTTCCGGTGACCCAGGTTAGAGAAAAGCAATAATTATGTACTGTACTTTGATCCTCATTGAAAGGAAGTGAGGGACTAATTTGGTAAGTTATTTCTTGCCTCAAAGTTCAGCATTCTGTCAACTCAGTCATGCTACAGTTCAAGACCCAGAAGATTGCCAATTTTAACTTTTGGTAACTTATTTTTTCACCGGAAAAAAGGCAGTTTCTGTGACTCAAAAATTCCCCAAGTAAATTTATTTTTCACCTCCCTTGAAGTTTGTATTGAAGTTGCTCAACTGAACAAGTATGGCAGCTTTTGAGTTATTGCGATGAATCACATCATTTCTGCTGAAGTTTTCTGAATTTGTTTCATCGTGGTGGATTAATGCATTATTTGACCATTTTAAAGCCTAATTTTTTCCTAATGTCTTGATAATTTTTAAAGATTTTCTGACCATCTTTTGAAACTTTTGCATGAAGCGAAACATCTGGCACTTTTCGTGTAAAATTTCAGACTAAAAAAATGTATGTAAAAGAAGAATGCCTTAGGAAAAATATACATATGGTATATTTAAAGATCAAACCCAGGATGCCAATCAATGCAAGCATCATTCTTCCAAATCTCATCATTTGGTTCCATGGATACAGCAGTGTTTTCCAACCTTTTTGGGCCCACACGGACTGACAAATTTCGAAATTACTTTGCAGACTGCCAAATTCCTCAAAAATTTTTTGTGGACCAACAATTTTTGCTCACTCAAATTTTATTTTTGCTTGAAAGACTTTATGGCAGGCATTTAAAAGATTTCTGATTTTTCTGCGAACATATAGAACTAATGGAGCAGCTGTGGGGAAATGTCTTTAAAAAATTAGAAAGGTTGGCTTGAAGAAGTTTTCTCAGGCTGAAAAATAAAAACAAAGGACTTCTGAATATGAAATTTGTCTGAAGTTGTTGGAGAAAAGCCTGATTTTATTTTTGATTAAATAATTTCAGCTGCTGCAATTGCTTTCACAAAATTGTAGATAAATACTGTTATAACAGACTTAGTGCTACTTTTGATTCATTTATTATGCTGCAGAAAATTTCCTGCAGACTGGCAAAAACTTCTGCAGACTGCTGGAGATGGACCACGGTTTGGGGAATGCTGCCCAAAGGCACAAGATGAACTTCTCATTTTATAATATGACATGACTAATAATTGAAAATCGACAAAAATGTTTATGTAATCAGTAGAAGGGAAGCATTGTGATTTATCAAATTACCAGAAATGCTTTGCACAATTTGACTTAGTTGTGGTATGCGGCAAATGGCAAAGTGCCAGCATCAGCAGGCTAAGTACTGCAATGCAGTTCTTTCTCCTGTTCAACTCCCTCTGAAAATTGTGCGTGGGAAAGCCACCACATACAGTACTATACAGCGATATTGGGTGACAAGTTCATCTCATGCAGCAGGACCCAGTCCTGCTTGGGGGTCCCGGATGAAATTCCTGGTGGCATTCATCTCGAGGGGGAACCCGGGTCCAGATACTCAAGCAGTATATAGTGAAGAGAAAATAGAAATGCGTATTGTCGGAATATTGTGTAGTACTTTATATGACTCTATTTTTGGAAGAACGGCGACAGTGGCGTTCCAATTTTTGCATTTTTGGCGAAATTGCTTCCTCGTGATGAGAAATGTTTAATTTTCAACTCAAGCGATTACTCCGGGTTATAATATGGATGTACAGTATATTTAGTTCGTGATTTATAACGCAGACAAGAATTTACGATCGAGTAAATTTCGAGAAGCTAATGAAGATAATTAATGTTTCAATTGTGTACGCGTTCGCAAATTTTTCTTTCAATCGAAAAAGTGGCGCAAATTCCGTTTTATTTGTTGCTCATGAATATTTGTGAGGAAATTCAACTCTTATCCATTGCAAAGGTTATCTAGTCGGATTTCATGTTGTTATCCAGGAAATACTCGGGTTTGTTTCCAAGACCTATTTTTAAATTGCACCTTACTTCGAGGAAGCAAACAAGGTTTNAACTTTTTTTCGCGTCTGCTGGAAATGCGCGAGATGCCGATTATCGGAACGGCATTAAATCGCCGAATTGTCGCTTGAGATACTTGGAGACGCATGATTCTTGATAGCACTGATTGGGGTCTTCTTCGCCACCGGGGTTAAGCTTGTCAACTGCGATTGTCATGTGGTAGGCAAGCTCCAGACACCCGGGTTCTTCGTTGGGACACACGTCTTCCATCTTGTCGAGGAGGATCCCGTCGCAGTCGTTGGACGTCATCACACTGAACCCTTCTCCCTGCGGGATTTCCATGTTCAATGCTTTGATTAGGTCTTCAATTATCAAATTATTTTTGTTGCCCTGGAGTTAATGAAAATTGATCGACTGTCACTCTTCCCAAGAATTTACTATAACTATTAAATGAAAGGGACGTCTGTCATCCGAAGTCCGCTTGGCGTCAGATATTTTCTAGAGCAGCTGGAGAGGCGCAAAATATTTTAAATACTTCCGCAGCAAAATTTTTAAAATTTTTTATAGAATTTTATTCAATATTTTTTTCACACTCCGAAAAGTCAAAAACGTAGATATTTTGAATTCTTGTTCAATCCTTGTCTGAATTCCGTTTAAGAACACTGTGTTGTATTATAGACCTGCCCAACTCAAAGACTTTTCCCTTTAAACGTCCAATGCTCAAATTTTCTGGAGGCCTTTTGTGCTATTTTTCCGGTGACCCAGGTTAGAGAAAAGCAATAATTATGTACTGTACTTTGATCCTCATTGAAAGGAAGTGAGGGACTAATTTGGTAAGTTATTTCTTGCCTCAAAGTTCAGCATTCTGTCAACTCAGTCATGCTACAGTTCAAGACCCAAAGATTGCCAATTTTAACTTTTGGTAACTCTTATTTTTTCACCAGAAAAAAGGCAGTTTTTGTGACTCAAAAATTCCCCCAAGTAAATTTATTTTTCACCTCCCTTGAAGTTTGTCTTGAAGTTGCTCAACTGAACAAGTATGGCAACTTTTGAGTTATTGTGATGAATCACATGATTTCTGCTGAATTTTTCTGAATTTGTTTCATAGTGGTGGATTGATGCATTATTTGACCATTTTAAAGCCTAATTTTTTCCTAATGTCTTGATAATTTTTAAAGATTTTCTGACCATGTTTTGAAAGTTTTGCATGAAGCTAAACATCTGGCACTTTTGGTGTAAAATTTCACAGACTCAAAAATATATGCAGAAGAAGAATGCCTTAGGAAAAACATACATATGGTATATTTAAAGATCAAACCCAGGATCCCAATAAATGCAAGCATCATTCTTCCAAATCTCATCATTTGGTTCCATGGATACAGCAGTGTTTTCCAACCTTTTTGGGCCCACACGGACTGACAAATTTCGAAATTACTTTGCAGACTGCCAAATTCCTCAAAAATTTTTTGTGGACCAACAATTTTTGCTGACTAAAATTTTTGTTTGTTTGAAAGATTTTATGGCAGGCATTAAACAAATTTCTGATTTTTCTGCGAACATTTAGAACTAATGGAGCAGCTGTGGGGAAATGTCTTCAAAAAATTAGAAGGGTTGGCTTGAAGAAAGTCTTCTCAGGCTGGAAAATAAAAACAAATGACTTCTGAATATGAAATTTGTCTGAAGTTGTTGGAGAAAAGCCTGATTTTATTTTTGATTAAATAATTTCAACTGCTGCAATTGCTTTCACAAAATTGTAGATAAATACTGTTATAACAGACTTAGTGCTACTTTTGATTCATTTATTATGCTGCAGAAAATTTCCTGCAGACTGGCAAAAACTTCTGCAGACTGCTGCTGGAGATGGTCCACAGACCATGGTTTGGGGAATGCTGCCCAAAGGCACCAGATGAACTTCTAATTTTATAATATGAGATAACTAAATAATTAAAAATCGACAAAAATGTTCATGTGATCATTCAAAGGGAAGCATTGTGATTTATCAAATTACCAGAAATGCTTTGCACAATTTGACTTAGTTGTGGTATGCGGCAAATGGCAAAGTGCCAGCATCAGCAGGCTAAGTACTGCAATGCAGTTCTTTCTCCAGTTCAACTCCCATTGAAAATTGTGCGTGGGAAAGCCACCACATACAGTACTATTCAGCGATATTGGGTGACAAGTTCATCTCATGCAGCAGGACCCAGTCCTGCTTGGGGTGTCCCGGATGGAATTCCTGGTGACATTCATCTCGAGGGGGAACCCGGGTCCAGATACTCAAGCAGTATATAGTGAAGAGAAAATAGAAATGCGTATTGTCGGAATATTGTGCAGTACTTTATATGACTCTATTTTTGGAAGAACGGCGACAGTGGCGTTCCAATTTTTGCATTTTTGTCGAAATTGCTTCTTCGTGATGAGAAATGTTTCATTTTCAAGCGATTACTCCGGGTGATAACATGGATGTGCAGTATATTTAGTTCGTGATTTATAACGCAGACAAGAATTTACGATCGAGTAAATTTCGAGAAGCTAATGAAGATAATTAATGTTTCAATTGTGTACGCGCTCGCAAATTTTTCTTTCAATCGAAAAAGTGGCGCAAATTCCGTTTTATTTGTTGCTCATGAATATTTGTGAGGAAATTCAACTCTTATCCATTGCAAAGGTTATCTAGTCGGATTTCATGTACTGTGCAGTGTTTATTTTTTTTTACAATCAAATTTTATAAATAAAATTGGGGTCCTTCAGATGCAATCGTCATTCAGAAGTGTTTTCCGGTCAGTTTCGATCAATGTGTGACAAATTATAATCTCGTTACAGCGAATCACTTCGTGACGAATAATCGATCACGACGATTTTTTGAAGATCCCAGTGTGTGATAGCCGCAATGTTAATTCAGTTTCTTTATAGAAAATCATTTACAATGCAGTATTAAGAAGCTATATAATTGAATGATCTCGATGTCTTCGTTGTAACGAGAGTTTACTGTATTTAAAAAAAAAATTTCGTTTGAGAGAAAGCTGTGTTAAAACTCCACATGTCTAGAAAATTGCCCTAAACATTCTCAAGTGACACCTTTAAATGATGAATAATTAGCTGAAAGTATTGAAAGTTGAGAATTGTAAATTTGAAGGTCAAAGAAACCGTTCTAGGAATAAAATTCTTGGCGCCGAGAAATTTTTTTTTTCAAATTACTGCAGAATGTGGCGAGAAAGGATCGAATTTCGGAAAAATTTCCCGAGCGAATGCTTTCGGTGGAAAGTTCCGCGCTGAGTGAAGATCGAAAGTGCTGAATTTCCATCGTCTCCGGCCACCATTCAGTTATTGAAAAAAATGGCTTGATTTGACAAATTTTGCATAATTAACTCACGCAAAGTTTGCAGAGCTCGTGGATGTTGCAAGCGTCCACGAAACGGAGTTCGTTGTCTCCCGCTATCCGTGATGCTCGGACGCATCCCTGCAAAACGTTGTCCAATGCTGGGCACGTTTCTTCATCGTCTGAAATTTAAAATTTCACTTTTGAAAATCGGAAATAAAAATCATCCTCACTGTAAAATGATCCCGTCTGGGGATGCGGGAAAATGTGCAATAGAGTGGTATGGGAGTGATTTTGTTGCGAGGTTTTGTGTCCTTGACACGGTTCAGTCTATGTTCCATGCTGTGGAGAATTTAAGAGAAATATTTATTTTGGAATAAAAATAAAGAACTCAAGAATTTGGTTGGGCTGCAACCTGGGTGTTTTCACCCTATTTTAAAGTTTGTATTGTTCAGTTATTTTTTTCAGATTCATTTGGACAACAGTTTCAAGTTTTGAAACTGTTGTCCAAAAAAACTATTAGGGCAAGTAAAGAGACTGTGGTGATCAGTCACTGTTTTAATTTATTGCTTACAGTTAAGACATTGAGTTGGCGGTTTAAATCATTTTCCACAACTTTCAAAAGAAACGCAAAAGTAGTTACTCTGTGAGAGTATTTCAAGTAGTTTATTTTTTCTTTCACACAGTAGATACAAATACGGTCAAAGTCAGGTGCGGTAAACTTAATGCAACATAAAATTCACCTTTATATAAAGCCTTGGTTGGCCAAGGTCAAGAAACGTGCATAGAAACCAACTTGGATTGAGGGCATCATACTTTGTTTCTTTAAAAGGAAGGAAGCATGAGCATGGTCAGAAAAGTATTGGGTCAACATTGGGATTGTGGAATATAATTGCTAGCGCACCAGGCGCAGCCAAGCATAGTGGAAATACATTAGCTTAAAAGAATTATACAGAAAGTGTTTGTATGTTGTAGTTGTCAATATGACTACAAAACTCTTTTCAAGTGATACGCACAAGAGTTCAACTCAGAATGATGAAAAAGGGAAAGTAAAGAAATCAGGAAAACTATCCTTTGAGGATAAGTTAAAGTTAAAAAAAAATTGCCTTTGAGTTTCTCAAACTTTACTCATGATGCAAAACCTTGGAGGTTCAAGTACAGGTGTGAGAACCAGAGTTATGCCATGTTTTCACAAGATGCACAAGGACACATTTTTGGGGAATACCAATTCTTTTTCTCTACAATTAGGCATGACAAAAGATATTTTTGCCATTTTAATTTGCAACAGATGCTTTACAATATTTTTTCTTCTATATATTTGATGCTTTAATAATTTTTGTTTACATTTGATGCTTTATAATATTTTTTGTCAATAATGGATGCTAAATAAGATTTTTTTGCTCATTGCAGGCATCACTTATTTAAGAAAATAAACCAAATTCCCTCTTTTGTCAAATGCATCAGCTTTTTTGTTTGCATTAAATTATATTCTGAATGAAGGGGAATATCTTTTTTGGAGGCCAACGATAGAATTACTGTTCCCGAATCCCACTTGGCACAACCTTTATTTATCCACACGAGAAAGCTCTTGGTGTGTGATAGTCTTCCAAAGAAGTCAGGAACAGAAATCCTATTCATACGTAGCAATTTCGGTTGCTTTTCATTCTGCTCTATAGCTTATTGGACGTATATGGGAGCACATTTTTTCGTATTCTTATATACCGTCAGAAGGGCAGGAAAGTTATGAATGGGAAAGGGCTGTTCCAAATGTTTTGATTTTTTTTAGAGTCCATCCGAATGCGTGGGATTCATTATTGGATTTTCAGAGAATTAGGTGGAAAAGGGAAAGTATCAAAAGAGTGAGTTTGAATTGAGCAAGTAATTAAAAGAGCTCCTGTAAATGCAGAAGGTCGATTTTGATTTTTATGCTTGTGCTCTTTTGTCTGCTTGCTCTTTGCTACATTCAGTCCTTTTCGAATTTGCCCTTTTGTACGTTTGCTCTTTTTTCTTTTTTTTGATCTCAGGTTTGGAATCATTCTTCTTGGCTCAAGTTCATTCCCTAATTTTTTTATTGGATTTTTGCTTTTATTTCCGCGTGATCTCATGTGCTTTTGGTCTTTTGTGGAAACAACTTTTAAAAACAAATCGGACAGAAAAAGGAATGGTCACGTGCACAAATTTTGCAGAGTTCGAATTGACTTTGAATCTTTTTCTGTCAATTATTAAATTAAGTGCAATCGTTTTCAGAATTCCTTTCACATCTTAAGAATTGCCAGAACTCGAAAGATAAATGATCTGAACTTTGTATATCATGGAGGTGGCATGAATATTACTTGAACTACTTCAAATCAAAGGTGAGAAACCTCTTTTCCCATTATCATAAACTTCACTGCTCGCATATTTGAAAAGTTTTGTGGGATTCAGTACTTGTGCCGTTTTTCTTTTATACATGGTCTGAAGTCTGTCGGAAAAATTTGATTTACAGTCGTTAATTTCCAAACTGAACGTTGGAAATTTTCCAGTGACTGGATTTATATTTTTGCGACATTGATGGATTATTATTTTTTGATTGAGGTTTGAAATGTTTCAGTTCACCTGCTTGTTTTTTCTTTCGGATCAGGTCAATGCCTTGCGGTCGAAGTCCGTGTTTTTCATCGCTGTCGCTATCGTCGTCGTCGTCGTCACTGTCGCTGTCGAGAGCATCTTTGACCTCATGTATCAGTTCGACGGCTCTGAGTCGGTTCCTCAGCTCGGATATTGGGTAAGTCTCTCTGGATTCTGCCATTTCGCGTACTTGGTTGTCGATCCCAGCCAGGGCCTGAGAAAGGCGGTGTTGGAACTCATATTCGCTCGCTGTCGCGAATCGTTTTCTTTTCAGTATTCAAATTGGCTGTTGCTGACGCCAACTTATCCAACACTCAAATGAGAAACATACTTCTTCAAAAAATACAAGGACCAGCAATGAACATATTGCTATCCGTCCCTGGAATCCTAGAAGGAGACTATTGCTACATCATCCAACATCTACAAAATACTTATCAGAAAGCCTCAATGGATAACGCCATGAGAGAAATGAAATGGGTCCTTCAGATGCAATCGTCAATCAAAAGTGTTTTCCGGTCAGTTTCGATCAATGTGTGACAAATTATAATCTCGTTACAGCGAATCCCTTCGTGACAAATAATCGATCACGACGATTTTTTAAAGATCCCTGTGTGTGATAGCCGCAATGTTAATTCAGTTTCTTCATAGAAAATCATTTACAATGCAGTATTAAGAAGCTATATAATTGACTGATATCGATGGCTTCGTTGTAACGAGAGTTTACTGTATTTCAAATTTTTTTTCCTTTGAAAGAAAGCTGTGTTAAAACTCCACATGTTTAGAAAATTGACCTGAACATTCTCCAGTGACACCTTTAAATAATGAATAATTAGCTGTAACTATTGAAAGTCAAGAATTGTAAATTTGAAGGTCAAAGAAACCGTTCTAGGAATAAAATTCTTGGCGCCGAGAAATTTTTTTTTTTCAAATTACTGCAGAACGTGGCGAGAATTGATCGAATTTCGGAAACATTTCCCGAGCAAATGCTTTTGGTGGAAAGATCTGCCCTGAGTGAAGATCGAAAATGCTGAATTTCCATCCTCTCCGGCCACCATTCAGTTATTGAAAAAAATGGCTTGATATGACAAATTTTGCGTAATTAACTCACGCAAAGTTTGCAGAGCTCGTGGATGTTGCAAGCATCCACAAAACGGAGTTCGTTGTCTCCCGCTATCCGTGATGCTCGGACGCATCCCTGCAAAACGTTGTCCAATGCTGGGCACGTTTCTTCATCGTCTGAAATTTGGAATTTCACTTTTCAAAATTGGAAATCAAAATTATCCGCAATATAATCATCCTGTCTGGGGATGCGGGAAAATGTGCAATAGAGTGGTATGGGAGTGATTCTGTTGAGAGGTTTTGTGGCTTTGACACGGTTCAGTCTATGTTCCTTGCTGTGGAGAATTTAAGAGAAATATATATTTAAGAATAAAACTCAAGAATTTGGTTGGGCTGCAACCTGGGTGTTTTCAGCCTATTTTAAAGTTTGTATTATTCAGTTATTTTTGTCAGATACACTTTCAAGTTTTGAAACTGTTGTCCAAAAAACTATTAAGGCAAGTAAAGAGACTGTGGTGATCAGTAACTGTTGTACTTTATTGCTTGCAGTTGAGATGTTGAGTTAAAGGTTTAAATTGTTTTCTGCAACTTTCAAAAGAAACGCAAAAGTTACTCTGTGAGAGTACATCAATTAGTTTATTTTATCTTTCACACAGTAGATACAAATACAGTCAAAGTCAGGTGTGGTAAAGTTAATGCAGCATAAAATGCACCTGTATATATATAGCCTTGGTTGGCCAAGGTTGAGAAACGTGCATAGAAACCAACTTGGATTGAGGGCGTCATACTTTGTTTCTTCAGAAGGAAGGAAGCATGAGCGTAGGCAGGAAAGTATTGGGTCAACATTGGGATTGTGAAATATAATTGCTAGTGCACCAGGCTGTAGTGGAAATGCATTAGCTTAAAAGGGTCATACAGAAAGTGTCTGTACATTGTAGTTGTTAATGTGACTACAAAACTCTTTTCAAGTGATATGCACAAGAGTTCAACTCAGAATGATGAAAAAGGGAGAGAAAAAGAATCAGGAAAACTATCCTTTGAGGATAAGGGAAAGTTTTTAAAAGACTGCCTTTGAGTTTCTCAAACTTTAGTCATAAAGGAAAACCGTGGAGGTTCAAGTACAGGCATGAGAACCAAAGTTATGCCATGTTCTCACAAAGATGCACAAGGACTAGTTTTTGGGGAATACCAATTCTTTTTCTCTACAATTAGGCATGACAAAACATATTTTTGCCATTTTAATTTGCAACAGATGCTTTAAAATATTTTTTCTTCAATATATTTGATGCTTTAATAATTTTTGTTTACATTTGATGCTTTATAATATTTTTTGTCAATATTGGATGCTTTATAATATTTTTTGTCAATATTGGATGAAAAATAATATTTTTTTGCTCATTGCAGGCATCACTTATTTAAGAAAATAAACCGAATTCCCTCTTTCGTCAAATGCATCAGCTTTTTTGTTCGCATTAAATTATATTCTGAATGAAGGGGAATATCTTTTTTGGAGGCCAACGATAGAATTACTGTTCCCGAATCCCACTTGGCACAACCTTTATTTATCCACACGAGAAAGCTCTTGGTGTGTGATAGTCTTCCAAAGAAGTCAGGAACAGAAATCCTATTCATACGTAGCAATTTCGGTTGCTTTTCATCCTGCTCTATAGCTTATTGGACGTATATGGGAGCACATTTTTTCGTATTCTTATATACCGTCAGAAGGGCAGGAAAGTTATGAATGGGAAAGGGCTGTTGCAAATGTTTTGATTCTTTTTGAAGTCCATCCGAATGCGTGGAATTCATTATTGGATTTTCCGAGAATTAGGTGGAAAAGGGAAAGTATCAAAAGAGCACAAGTTTTAATTGAGCAAGTAATTAAAAGAGCTCTTGTAAATGCAGAAGGTCGATTTTGATTTTTGTACGTGTGCCCTTTTGTCTGTTTGCTCTTCTCTACATTCACTCCTTTTCGAATTTGCCCTTTTGTACGTTTGCTCTTTTTTCTTTTTTTGATCTCAGGCTTGGAATCATTCTTCTTGGCTCAAGTTCATTCCCTAATTTTTTTTATTGGATTTTTGCTTTTATTTCCGCGTGATCTCATGTGCTTTTGGTCTTTTGTGGAAACAACTTTTAAAAACAAATCGGACAGAAAAAGGAATGGTCACGTGCACAAATTTTGCAGAGTTCGAATTGACTTTGAATCTTTTTCTGTCAATTATTAAATTAAGTGCAATCGTTTTCAGAATTCCTTTCACATCTTAAGAATTGCCAGAACTCGAAAGATAAATGATCTGAACTTTGTATATCATGGAGGTGGCATGAATATTACTTGAACTACGTCAAATCAAAGGTGAGAAACCTCTTTTCCCATTATCATAAACTTTACCGCTCGCATATTTGAAAAGTTGTGTGGAATTCAGTACTTGTGCCGTTTTTTTTATACATGGTATGAAGTCTGTCGGAAAAATTTGATTTACAGTCGTAAACTGAACGTTGGAAATTTTCCAGTGACTGGATTTATATTTTTGCGATAATGATGGATTATTATTTTTTGATTGAGTCTTGAAATGTTTCAGTTCACCTGCTTGTTTCTTCTTTCGGATCAGGTCAATGCCTTGCGGTCGATGTCCGTGTTTTTCATCGCTGTTGCTATCGTCGTCGTCGTCGTCACTGTCGCTGTCGAGAGCATCTTTGACCTCATGTATCAGTTCGACGGCTCTGAGTCGGTTCCTTAGCTCGGATATTGGGTAAGTCTCTCTGGATTCTGCCATTTCGCGTACTTGGTTGTCGATCCCAGCCAGGGCCTGAGAAAGGCGGTGTTGGAACTCATATTCGCTCGCTGTCGCGAATCGTTTTCTTTTGAGAATCACGCGTTTCTTCCTGTCCTCGTCACTGTCGTCATCCTCGTCGTCGTCGTCGTCGAATTCTTGTTCGTGGGAAGGGTGGAATAGTCTGGGGAAACTTTTCTTGCGACGGCGACGACAGTCTTCGTCGTCGCATTCTTCCGATTCCGAGGCATCCTGTAAAAATAATTCGTTTCCATTTTTTTTCGTAGTAAAAATTGACTTGGAATAGATTCGGTGTGTGTAATTTTTTTTTAGATGGCGTCTGAGATTCTAAAGTGTAGTCAAGTGCAGTAGTCAATTTCAAAACGTATTTTTAATGAAAATCATGAAAATTTGAATTCGAAATTTCGGTGCGCCACGATTTTTAGTCCGAGGAGCTAAGAGTTAAAATTAAAATTTTTCATAAAATTCGATAAAGTTGTTGAATAAATTATAACTTTTGCCGATTCCGGGGCATCTTGCAAAATAATTCGAAACCCTTTATTTTTAGAAAATTGTTTTCGACACCCTTTATTTTTATAAGTCTGTCACATTTGTGATTGTTCAAATGGAAGCCTTCTGTAGCTCGAAATATAATTGAAATCGATTTAAATTTTTTTCACAAAGCTGATTGGATCAGTTTAAATCGAAATTAACGTGCGAAAGTTAAGCTATCGTATTTTTTTTCCGGAGACTTCAACAAAAAAATCGATATTGCCGGATAAACGAATGAGAAATTTTTATACAACTGTAAAAAGAGCACGTTGAAACTAAGCTCATCTTAATTCACGTTGAATTGATTATAAAGACGGCAATTAATATGAATTGATTCAAATTAGGAAAATGTGATTGTCACATTTTGTGATTGTTCGAATTTTAGAATTTTTTTTTAGCTCGAAATATAGGATTGAAATTAGCCCAAAATTTTTTTTCTATCAAATCTATGTATGAATCATTTGAACAGAAATTGACATACAGTTATCAGACCTATCGTTTACGTTTTTCGACTTTTGAATCAGTAAGTAAGCGAATGAGACATTCTTGTACAACTACAAAAAGAGCAGATTGAAAAGAGACTCATCTTGATTCAAGATGAATTGATTATAGCGCCCTGCAATTAATCTGAATAAATTTATAAAATTCTAGGAATGTGATTGCTCCTTAGGCAAATGAATTCACTCACACTATCATCATCATCACCCACGGGGAATTTCTTGGCGAAATACAAACGTTTTTCAGGATCCGGTCTGAATTTCCGGATCAACCCAACCGGTCTTCCGGGTCCTGCTTGATGCATCCATGATGCATTACTCCGCTTCTTCTTTTTCTCATCATCATCATCTTCTGCTTCTTCGTCGTCGTCTTCTTCTTCTTCACGACTCCGTTTCAATAACCCGTATTCCCGTGGCTTTTTCGGGTACCTTTCCCTGCTCGGGTGCATCTGGATCCTGTGAAGCCATTCGCTGGGCCGCACCCAGTTGAACCTCATCCGCTGCTGCTGGGGTTGATGCCATTCGCCGGCAGCAATAAGGCGCCCATTCGCTCGCATCGCGAGTCGCTTCCTTCGAAAGGTGTAATCTTCTTCGAGACCTTGGTCGGGATCCGGATTTTTTCCGGGGGTTTCAGTGCTGGGAGAGTTTATTATTAGACTGGTGGTGGTGGGGGTTGTGTTATTGTTGACGAGTGTCGCCCCGGTGTCGCGTTTCTTGCGCTTGTCGAAGCCGAAGTAGTCGGAGAGTTTATTGCCGCCCATTGGCAGTGGGGGTGGGACACGTTTCTTCTTCTTTTTCTTCTCGTCATCATCATCATCGTCGTCGTCGTCTTGTTCATCTTCGTCTGAATAACGAGATTGTTTCCTGGGAGGAAGAGCGAATTTGCGTTTGAGCGCGAAGCGTTTTTTGTACTCGGAAGACTCGTCTTCGTCGGATGACCAGCGATTGAAGTGGACTGGAAGCATGAATTTACGTTTGTCTTGCTGGTATCTGTGGAAATAAGGAACAATTTGGAGTAACGATAGATGGTGGATATTATAATCCAGTGAGACCCCGAGATGCGGACGTAATTGGTGCGTCAAGAGTGTCCCAAAAGTCGAGTCTCATTTTTGCATAGACTTGCATTATATAATTTTTAATTGGTGTTTTTTGTAAAAAAAATATTCACCATAATTCCTTGAAAATAAAAATTTGTCTCCCAATTTTAAAAACTCTGAGAATTGAACGAAAAATACTGTAAAAGACTGAAGAATTTATTATGCTGACTTTATTCCGAGAATCCATAACTAATCAAAACCAAACCAGCATACATTCTTGATTTTTTAAATAATTTTTTTTTGAACTTGAAAAGCTTCGAATTTACTTTACTGTTATGAGCTCGTACAATTAGAACCTCAATTAAGAGTCTAATCAAGCAAAATCTGAAGTTTGATAGAGTAAGCTTGTCTGTGCTACTATTTTTTCAAGAAACCAGCTGGAGAAGATACCTGAGTGAAAACAGTTCCACTTTTTTGGTGCATCGTCGTAAAAGGCGGGATTTAATTTTGATAATTCATTTTGTTTGGTGATGACATAACTGACGTTGTTCCACGTACAATATAGTGAATATGATTGCTTCGAGAGCTTCTGAGGAAAAAATCTTTTCGTTCATAATTAAATATTTGCATGTGGAAAGTTTTGTGTCTGTGAGATATCGTCGATGGAAATTTATTCGTTAATATTCCTCTTTTCAGATGCAAAGAAAACAAGTCCGTTTGTTTATCTTGCCTCTATACACGGTAGATTGAAAAATGCGAACGATATTATTTTTTATTTCCGATATCAAATCGAAAGCATATCAAGTTCAAATTAATTCAGTTATCGTTCGAATTATGATCAATTCCGTGATTCTAGTGACATTTTTGGAATTAGCTTTTGCATTAAAAAAATTGGAAAGAAAGTGTAAACGTTAATTTTTTTCTAGGAACGAAAAGTCTATGTTGTTCTAGTAATGGGCGTATATAAATTCTAAGCAGCCCGGTAACTTCATTTTCGTAGTTCGATTGATATCTTCGCTTTTATTTCTGCAACTTTTCAAAAATGTCCGACTTTTTTCTAGAAAAAAGGATTATAAATAGAACAAAGGCTCAAGTTAGTCGAACTCAAAATATTTCTTAAATTTCCTTTGCCTCCATTGGTTCGTAAAAAATAATAATAACGGATCTAATTTTGAAAATGTTTTGTGTGTTTTCCGAAATGCTCTTGGAACTGGGATGGAATAGCGAAAGTTGACTGTCACTTGAATCTTCCACTTTCAGAAAAAAATCAAAGAAAATTATTTTCAAGTTCGGCTTCATATTCCCACTGCTGTGATTCCAGTAATGCTGAATACTGTATTATTTGAGAAATACTGGACCGCTTTCTGAAATTTCGCTAAAATTTGTCCATCAATTATTATTATTTTTTATATATTTAGGTTCCACCCTGTAATCTAGACCTAATGTCTATTTGCCAAGGAAGAAAGTAGGAAGGCATTGAAAAATGCGGCGTATGAAGAAGTATTTGCGTGCCCGTGGGTGGACGAAAATATGCAGCCTGATAATAGGATCGCCATCATATTGTGAGTGAGCCTGTCGAGAGCAGCTGTTCCTTTTGTCATCGTGAACTTTAATTTTTCCAACGGCCCTGTTCATCAAGCAGATCTTTTTTTTCGAAATTTCCTATGCGACAACAAAAAATGAATTCCCGAGAGGAAAAAAAAAGGGAGCTGACGGATTTCTGATATTTCCTATTACTCGCCGTCAAGACTATATACGAGGGTTCTAACGAAAGTTCTCGGATATTAATAGTGATTAAAATGTGAGCCATTTTAATAGGAATTAAAATGGCGCACAATCGAGCTGAAAAAATTATTCTTTAGGGAAAACATGTTCTTTGGCACAAGAAAAAATCAGGCCTGTTTGACAATTTTCGTGTGAATGTTTTGCAAAATTCACCTGGCTGAGTTTCGCTCTCCACTCAACAGATGAGCTATAGGCGCCCTTTCTGCAGTTTTTTTTTTTTTTTTTTTTTTTAGCCCAGCTTTCTCCTCTTAATTCTTGCAATCAATGTGGCATAAATTCCAAGGGTTGCCTCCAGGTCTTCCGAGGTAATTCCGCCATTTTCATCAACAACCGCCGAAGTGGCGGCTGTGAAGGCGGCTGTTGATGAAAGTGGCGGAATTACTTTGGAAGCCCTGGAGGCAACCCTTGGAATGAATGCCACATTGATTTCAAGAATTAAGAGGAGAAATCTGGGCTACAACAACAAAATCTGCAGGAAGGGCGCCTCATCTTTTGAGTATAGATTAAAACTCTGCCAGGGTGAATTTTTCAAAACATTCGAATTAATTTGTCAAACAGGGCTGATTCTTTCTTGTGTCAAAGACAATGTTTTCACTAAAGAATATTTTTAAAACTCAATTATATGCCATATCAATCTCTATTCTGAGAACTTTTGTTAGAACCCTCGTACAAGGTGGGCCAAAAAAAACGGAACCGATTTTTGACTTGGGAAATGGAAGAAAACACTGAATGGAATGTTGAAAGCTTGTTCAATTCTCTTTCAAATGGCGTGTAGTGTTTTATGGTCCCAATAAGTGCGACGGAATGGTCACAAGAACCATTTGCATGGAAACTTAAAAAAAAAATTCAAGCGACTTTTTCCACTAAGCTGCTGTTCTGGAGAGCTGGAATCATTCAACAATCCCACCCTGTATATATATGCATATTTCTCTTTTTTTTTCTCGAGGCAAAAGAATTGCTAAATTTAGATCCAGTGAGATGAATGGTTTCAATCAGATTTTTCCTCCCAGTATCAAGCAATACATTCTCCCAGATCTTTCCGGTTTCCAGGGAATTCGATTTTCAAACAAGATGATCATTTATCATTCTGCCTCCAGAAAGTCTTCTTCTCCTGATACTTGGTCTTCGACTCTCTTCTGTATTCTCTTCAAAATCGAATTTTTCCACTGATATTTCCGCACTATTTTTAATAAAAAAAATTATGGATGCGTCGTTCATTTATACGGAAAAGAATCGATTTCACTGCATGCGGGTACGTGTGAATTTTGATTTAGGGATGAGTCCGGAAACTTCTTGCGTTTTGCTGTATTCTTATTGTAATTACATGGAACAAAAATGCATCAATACATCACCTAAAGTTATTTATCCTCTGAGACTTGTACTTCGACTCTTTTCAATATTATTTTCAAAATCATGGCACTATATATCTAAGAATAAAACTTGCATGAATCCGTTGTCGGTTTATATAAAAATGAATCAATTTCACTACACACACGGGAATGTAAAATACGACCAGGGATGAGCCATGACACTTTTTGTGTTTCGACATTGCATTTTCATGGAGCTTAAATTTTCTGGGTAATTCTCCGCATGAACGAAGAAAAAGTGCGCATTTTCCTTTGAAAAATTCCTGCATTATTCTACGTTTCTTCCCCTAATATATTTGCCCTGCATCGGACTGCGGCCTATGCTCGCTTGCGGCCTATATATCCTAGGAAATCTAAATTATTCTACCCAGTCACGAAAGCAAGCATGAAAATGGAGAGAGTTGAATTATTTTCTCACCGACTTTCCTCCACGCTGTCTTCATCATCCGACTCACTAGAGTTATCATCATCATCATCATGATCATCACCACGATCATCATCATCATTGACGTCTTGGACACGTGCTTGTAGTAAAAAAGCGCGATGTGGGCGAACAGTTGGCGGCAGTCGTTGCCATCCGGCGTACCCGTCTGACGCAAAGATCCGCCTTCTACGCTTGAACCCGTAGCCGGGCACGTGGAACGGGTTGCGTTGGGCGGCGGAGGTGGAAGGCGGTCGTCGTGGGCCGCCGTAGGGTTCCGGCAATGCGATGTACGGCATGCCGGGTGGCGCCGGCCGGAAACGCTTCTTGCGATCGTCTTCTTCTTCCTCGCTGGAATGGATTGTGAAATTGAACAACAGTGCATGGTTCGAATGATGCATTTTCCTCTGGGTGGCCTCGGTTAATGGACTCGGAATTGAGTCCAGTGGGAAAGTTCATCATCATCGGGAAAGTGTATATGAATTGAGTAATGAGTAGCGAATCGGTTCCGGAATCACTCGACAAAAAAATAGTAATCCGCTCAACTGACGAATGTGAGGCCGCGTGGAAAAAATCTCTCGACAAATTCCCTCCATAAATTACCGAAAAAAATCGTTTGACTGAAAAAAAAACGCAACAAAAATTGAAAAAAAATTCAACGCCACTAATGAAACTCGTAAAATAAGAATGCTGTTATCTGCTTTCTGAATTCCTTCATCAACTTCAGTCAAAACTGGATCTAAAATTTCTTACATCACTGATTGCAAAACAATTTTTAATAATTGAACGATTTTACCGCGCGAAATGTTCCTAGGATGTGTTGCGTGTCAAGTTTCGCTGCTGTACAAGATTTTTATTTTACTGTATTATAGTGTATGCAGTATATTTATCAAAACCCCTCCTAAAGCTGATTTGCAATATTTTTTGCGAAGATAACTGAGTAATGTTCTTGATTTGAAACATTGTCGAATGCGAAATTTTTTGAAGCTATTTTTTTCTTGTCTCATATCTCTGAATGGGAAAATTTGTGGATGCACGTACTCCATTTATCAAGGTCCGTTTAAAGCCGAATTACTATTTGTTTTTGAAAAAGTTAAATATTAAAAGTAGTTTTGCGATCCAATTTTTTTCAAGGATGTCTCGTGTATCACCTGCAAACCATCGAAGAAATCACGAGATGGGATTAAGACATAATTTCAGTCTCTCAGAATAATTAAAATGTATTTAATTTTGAAATAATCAATTTCTGCCCCCAAAAAGTATTTCCCTTTTTTTTCTCCCTCAGATAAAAACAAGCAAGAATGTAATGGAATGTTTTTGTCTTCCTGACGGAAGGAGTCAGTGACGTTGATTTTCTAAAGAGGAAAACTTCGACCGTAGGTTCAGCGCATTTACAGGAAGAAATAAATAAATAAAAAACGGTATAGCGAAAGAGAAGCAACGTCTGTGAGTTTTTTCCATGAGAGGTCTGCAAAAATTCATGAGTCCTTGGGTTGACCTCGACGATGCTCCGCATGTTAGGTTTGCTCAAGGTTTGCAACTTCCGTGCGCAAACGTGACTTCCGTAGAAGATGTCGCGCCCTGAATAACCCAACAGGTTGCTCTTAAAAACACCCTGATTATTTGGAAAATATTTAGCACAATACGTTATTCTGAGGAAATTTTTTCGAAAAAATTGAGGGGGTTCACAAAATGAAAATTTGCATAATCCTGGATCGGAAATTTCGCGAGAGAATAAAATGAATTGCATACACGAAGGAATTCAATGAGCTTGAGGATTTCAATGTTTAAAAAAAAGTGTCAAACCCTGTGAAGCACTTTCTCGGGTTCCCAAGTACCGTATATTGTTGGTTTTTTGATGAAGAAAAAACAACCTTTTTCTTTTCACGATATAGAGAGAAAAGAATCTGAAATTTTTTCTATTTTAAATATGTGAATTATTTAAAAATACGGGTAGTCGTTTTTTTTTCTCTCTTGTGCGTGTCTCGGTGTCCACATTTCTTCTGCGTGGGTTTCCAATCTCGAGAATGAACCACTTGAGTCAGAATTGGGTCATTTTCACTTCAAAGCACAAATGAATTCTCCATTGGGCCAAGAATATTGCCTCGACCAATTAACGCTTTCATCTCGGGAATGTCGAGGACAGCTTCACCTGATGAAGATTAGTTTTCAACATCCTGAGTAAATTCATACCCACGTTATACCCTCGAACATCATTCTGCGACTACAAACGGATGTGCTTTTTAGAATATTTGCATAAAAATATCTACAGTATTAACTATTAACGAGCAATCGTGCATTAAATGCAATGGAATATTTTATAACATAAATGTTGAATCCCGATGTAGTGGTGGATCTGTAATGATGTTCACGACGAATTTTTATTTTCCCTAGGACGAATTAGGTGATGCCAATAATTTTACGTCTACATGAACGAGGACCAAAATGCCGACTGCTGAAAATGCCGCAAAAATTCAGAAATATTTTCGAGCGAAAGCGACCTCATGAACTGTATAGTACAGTACTGCACATTTTCGTGAAGTAAAATCTCGAATAAGTGGAGAATAAAATGATCGGACACTAGTGATTCAAATTCAATAAAATCGTTCAACGTTCGAGGGGGGAAAATAAATCAGTTTGAAGCATCATCTTGGCTTATATTCAATTTACGACGCATAATTTTGAGTACTGGGCACACCCAAGTTTTTCTGGACATTTTTCTGAAAGTTAATTGCGGACGTGAATGTTGTATTGTTTTGCATTTTTATTTATTATATGATGAGAGCCCTATTCTGACGAACGAGTTGAACCATAAATGACCCAAGGGAAAATCGTCGCAAAAATATTGATACTGTCAAAGTGGGTAGATTTCGTTGCCTCGAAATGACCAGCGTGCGAATTTAAAAATGAGAGCTCAATAAATGAGGTTGCGCCGAATTTATTATTCCTGTAAAAATGGGTGCTTCTTCCGTCGTTTGTCCCAGTACTGGGCGAAAAAAAGCTCAATTGTTTTACGTTCTAAATATTGTACATATACAGTAAATATATATTTTTTTCTTTTTGCAACCATGTTCAAGTTAATTTACGAAGAATTTTTTTCGATTCCCTTTCGCATTATCATCGTTTGATCAATCAATATTGATTTATGGAATCAACAAAGTTAAAAAGTAGAACGAAGAATAAATGGTTCATTCTTGCTTCTTAAAAATGTAAAAAGTAAAAATAAAATAAATACTCACCTGCTGTCATCATCATCATCATCGTCGTCGTCATCTTCTCTTCCTCTTCGCGACTCTTTGATTTCGCGTAAACTCGGGATCCGTTTCCGTTTCCTGTCATCCTCTTCATCCGACGAAGAACTGTCGTCATCTTCGTCGCTGTCGCTATTTCTTTCGTCGCTGTCGTCGTCGTCGTCGTCGGCTGATTCTTCAGCCCTTCGCAAAAAGTGCTGCAAGTCCGGCTCGTCGACGAGTCCACGTGACACGTCCTGGGGGCTCAGGTTTTCTGCTCTCATCAACGGATCATAGCGTTTCTTCATGTCCATTTCCGTGTCATGTCTGCTCAGCAAGTGCACGGGGTAACGATACCTTCATTGTAATTAATTCAATTTTTTAAGAAAAAAAATAACAGAAGCGTTAAGTTTTAATTATTTTCCGGTGTCTCGACGGCGGGATTTTCCTATGGGAAGGGAGCTTATACTTGTAGTCTGCCCGTGGACATTAAGCTCGACAAAGTGACGAAGTGGCTGAATATCAGAAAAGAAAGTCTCCAGAAAACACTAACGTCAGAATAAGTCTTGGTAGAAATGAACAAGCATGAAAAATATGAGTCTGAAAAGAACGAACAAAAATGCTCAAATAAGCAAAAGTTTTCGAAAGTTTGGATTTTGGTAAAATTGCTTCATTTTTAGTCACGTTATATCTTGATGTTTCCACTTCATCTATTGTGGAAATCGGCGAAATTATTCTAATGCTACGATCATTGCCAGAAATCGAAGGATTTTTTCCCCCAGCTAAATTTTGGTATTTGTTGTTGCTTGAAGATGAATACTGTATTCGACACTAAACATTTTTCGTTTTATTATTAATCGCGGTAACTAATTATTGATTATTTTAAATCGCCGGGAAACTTCCGCGAAACTTGGAAGACTGTTGCTTCCGGATGTCCAAGGATGAATATTTGAACGAATCCTTTTTTTTTTTTAGAATTATCGCAGTGATTAAATCTTGGTAATTTTAAATCGTCAGGAAAATTTAAAAAGACTTGAACAGATGCTTCTGGGAATTCAAGGATGAATATTTGACTGAATTGAACATTTTTCAAATGATCGCAGTGACTAGTTTTTTAATTTTTTTTAATCGCTAAGGAATTTCCCGAAACTTTCAAAACGTTGCTTCTCGAAGCTCAAGAATGAATATTCAAATGAAGCAAACATTTTTCGAATGATCGCAGTAATCAATTCTTCATTATTTTGAAACGACGGGAAATTTTGCAAAACTGTCTAAAATGCCGAAGGTTTCATTTGATTGGATATTTTAAAAATTTTCTGTTTGGTCGGACCCTTTTCCGCGAATATATTTTATATGAATACAATCAATTCTAAACTTCTTGTGAATTTTCTTACGTGACTCAGAATAATCCTATGGTCTTCGCGTGGGATTGAAAATTTATTTCTCGCACTTGAATTGGATTATGAAAATTCGTGAGATCTTGAAAACATTTTCCTCACTTGGAGAAACAGAATAATGATAATAATGATGAATGGTTTGCAGGAATTTTTGAGTTGTTCCCTCTTAACAATGGCAAATAAACTCACCTGTTCTTCCCGAGGAATGGGTAAGGCGCCGAACGGCGCCGTTTTCCTACTCCGGCGACAGAAAGTCCCAAAAAGGCCAACACGAGGAAAGTTAGTGGTATTAAAAAATGGGGTGTTCTTCGACTCATTTCAAAACACTTCTTTCTTTCTGACGAACTAAAACTGGAAGAAAGAAGAAATTCTGCATTCACTTGCCTTTGGCGGAGCTTTCCGCTTCCGTAATATAATGTTTTCAGTTGTTTAATAAAAAGAAAAGAAATAAATGATGAGCCTTGTCGAAGGACTATAGCAAATTAATTCGGGTGATGCGATGCTCGACACTTGCGAAATTTCAAGTGAAAGTTTCTTAAACTAGTTTTCACCGGTGTTGTTTATGTAGAAATCGAGGTATTTTAAAATTCTAGGGAATTGTACCGACATATATATTCCGAATTGAGAGCATGCGTAGTTGTTCTGGAAATATATGTTGATGATTTTTTTTATTCAGGTAAATGGACGCTCCAAAATTAAATTTTCGCGAAATTTCGAAAAAATCTTTACCCAGAATGCGCGAAAAATCACTCGGAAATTCAAAGAATTTCCGGACGCTTATAAATGCTTTGTTTCGGTGGAATTGACAATTGTACATCTTTTGAAGTGGAATTTAAGTTTACTGTATTTCATATTTCCTAATTCAAAAAGATATTATTTTCAAAATTTAGCTAATTTTTTTCTGCCATTTTAATCTCAATTGCAGCAAAATACGATCAATTTTAAGATTCTGTGCGAAGACGAAAATTCCAAGAAAAATGAAAGCTTAACTGCGCACATGTTCCCATTAAAGAAAAAAAAAACTTCAGCTTTCGAGCGTCGAATCAAAATTTTCCGAAGTTGGCTTCAAATTTTCTTCAAAAGAGTCCCGGTTGGGAAGTTTAATTAAGGCCCCGGTTCCGAAAAGTTTTCTCTTCCTGCGATTTTATCGACAACCTTTAGATTAATCGATCATTATCCTCGGAAGTTTTAAGGAGATCAGTAACGAAGCAATCTGTGCTGCTGAGGATCGTAAAATGGTTTTCGTTTGATGCAAATTTAGCGCTCGGGTTTTCATCGCCGAATTTCGGCGCTTTTCTCAAAAAAGCTTTTTTTCATTTGCTTGAGTGATTTTTCCCCTCTTCTCCCTGCGAATGTTTTTGATTTAACAAATTATTTTGTGGGTTTTCTTTCAATATACGAAAGAGCTCCTTCCAAGGCATTGTCGTTGGAAGATCTGAGAGAAGGCAAAAAAAAAAAATACCAACCTCGATTAATTTTCTCCGTTCAGCCAGAAATTCAATCACCGAACGAACGCTTTTCGCCAAGGAAATGCGGTTTAATCTGGGAAGGGACTTCGTTATTTGATTGGACAGTTTTCTGAATAGAAATTCGTCAGAAACAAATCTGTTTTTTTTTAAAATTCCGAATCGTCTTCCCTAATAGAATCTTTTTCAAGGATTTTAGGGAATTGAAACGTATAAATTGCTTGAGTATGATCTATGTTATAAACTGTGAGTTTGAACCTTATACAGTATCTCGGAAATCAATTGATTCACTGTTTTAAATTCCCTTGCCCTCATTATTTTTTTTCTCGCTTGAATGTTCCCTCAAAATTCCGAAGAAATTAACCTTTGCGCGAATTATAAAATCCTCGATGAATTTTTGTAGAAATTTCCGAAAAAAAAATTTCAACTTCGGAATTCGATCGATGATGATCCTTGCAGTGCAATATACTGTATTTAATCACGGTAAACTTATTCCCGTGAAACTCAATCTGAAAGACTCGCAAGGTTCTAAAATTCCTCAAGTCGATTCGTTCATCAGAAATTTAGTTTCTTAATGCATTTTGAAAACACATTTTAGTTTTGTTCATAATTTCATCGGAAGAAATTCCGTTCAGGCCCAGAGAAGAATTATCTCGAGTCGAGAAAACTGTCGACGTGAAAGACAAGTTTGCACTTGTTCAGAACGACGAATTTCGGCAGGAAAATTCTGCGCAAAATTACTTACCTTTGAAGATGGAGAAGAAACACGATGAGGAAGTTCAATTGCAAATTCAGTGAGTTTTTTTTCTTCAAATTTTGTCTGCACTGTACTTTACTTGTCTCGTTGAATTACGGGATATGAATGCAATAATAGATCACCATAATAATTTTCCGACTGCTGATGCATATTTATTGTCCCGATGTTGAGAAAATGGAAAAAAAGAGGTGGAAGTGCACGCCATTATTGCGAGAAACGCAAATTTAATTGTTTTGTCTTTTCAAATGGCGGAATATGATTGCAATAATCGCTCCTCGTAATAATTTTCCGACTGCTGTTGCATTTTTATTTAGCTGATGTTGAGAAAATAAAAAGAGCTGCAAAATGAACGCCATTTTTGCGAGAAATCTCAATTTTACTTGTTCCACTTGCTTATTTCATTAATTCGAAGGGAATCCAAGCGCTGAAAATGACAATATTCCCGGTAATTGAATAATCGTCCTGGTGGCTGATGTTCATTAAGAAAAATGTTTCTGACCTCAAAAATTTAAATAATCTTTTTAGTTGCGCTGTAATAATGTGAGTGCTGTCTTGAATTTTCAATTTTCCATCGAACATCGTCCATAATGAATCTGCAATTTGATATCGTCGTCAACGAATGGGACGCATGCTTGAAGTCGTGTTATCGATTTCACAATAGTTTCGAAGGTTCCGCCTCGAAAAAGTTGGGTTCTCTGCAAACCTCTTTTCGGGGTACAGTACTGGGAACAGTTCCATAGAATTTGATCCACCATTTTTTTTTATAGACAGTTACAATACAGTACTTTTAGGTTTTGAATATTTTTTATCATAGACCGAACAGTTTAATGCTTTCAAAAAAAACAGGTCTAAAACATTTCCTCCTAAAAGAAAAAGCTTCTCTCAGAATGGAGCACAAAAAAAAACTTCCAAAAACAGCGCTGACTGAAATAGCGTGTCCACGAAGGAACTTCCCAAAATGAAGTATTTGAAATTAAATTTTCAATAATAGCGAACTAAATCCCGTGTTTTCTCTCTCTTAAACAGTCTCAAACGTAAAAAAATTTTCAAAATGCTTTCAGTATACAGCAAAAAATATTACAAATTATGTTCGTAAGTACTGTAGCGAGTCAGTCGCTA